GGCAACCAGCGCGTGTTGAGCGTTCGAAAGAGATGTCCTGCGCTTCTTATCCTCTGAACTACGGTTTGTTTCGCCGTATGCGACAGCGAAGCGGATGCTACAAGCGTGGGCGCATGCTGTCTTGAACGACGCTTTTAACTCACGATCGTATAGCAGGCCCGCTGAAAGCATCCAGCTCGCTTTTATTGGTTCTCCTTCGCTCGCACTTATCGTAAAACCATAAGGTTATTATAATTTACGCTAGAGGTTCAACTGGCGCTAGTGTTTATGCGATTTCCGGAATGCAAATTGAAGCAGACCATTCTTGGGTAGTAATTCAATTACTGCAATTAACTTATTGTAATTTAATTACTTTCTTTGTAATTTGTAATTGTTATTCATCACTTTCGACCAGAAGAAATTGTAATTGTAATTTAATTACCTTCTAACGTTAGTAATTGCAAAACTTCATGGACAATTACAATTTCTTTTGCGAGACTTTGCGGAGCGGACGGAACCTCTCTGAAAGCCTCAGAGCTCGCACAAGCGGCCTACCGCTCGGTGACACCCGCACACATAAAAACGCACTGACACACACGCACAACAAAAATAGCGTACCGTTGTTTGCTGTTTTGTTGCTTACACAGTGGGCTGAGAGACAATCCTCTTTGGAGCCTACCTGAACGGTGCCCTGTGGCATCTTTGCGATGCGAGCAGAAAACAATGTGGCGTAGACATATCAAAATATAGAAAGAAACAAAATTGAGCTCCAGCTTTCAGCCGAGGTTGGGGACTTTATTTATTAGTCTATGAAGTTTTTTTTTTTTTTTTTTCTTTTTTGCCCGGTTTTACATCCCTTTTCCAGTGCTGTCGCATATTTGTTTCTTTGTATTATTTTCAAGTTTATTTCCTGTTGGAAGTTTACTTCGGATATTACATGCATAAGCATTTTGAAAACTGACCTCGCACTTGTGTATATTGTCACCATTGATTCGAGAGCACCGATTCGGTTCTTGTATATTTCTGAGCCAAAATTATTTCAGCTCAATGTAAATAATTGGCAATAACATGAAACGTGCATGTCAATGTGGTCGTATTGGCGCGTTTGTATTGTAGTTTTATATTAACAGTATTAAAATATTCAGATATGAGTAATTTTCGCGTTTTTATTTGCCTGCCTAACAAAGTGTGTCAACCCACTTTTACTTTAGCGATCGGGTGTCTTCGAGTATATTAATAGATTAATTATTTTGTATTGAAAATATAAGAACGTAGGACTTCCTTACCCCAAACTGTCAAGTTCGATTATTAATTTAACATAAATTAACAAAATAAAAATACAATACGTGGCGTTTATACAGCGATGCTAAAGCCTCCTTAATCATTTGGGCAAGGAAGAATTGCGTTGCATTCCAAACAACTCGTTTAAAGTTATATGGCCCAAGTCGGGTCGCTCTCAAAATATGTAATTGGAAAGCAATTGCATTACGTTTTAGAGTAATTTGAAATTTTAATGAATTACTTTTCACGTAGTAGTAATTGCAATTGTAGTTAAACTACTTTTGGAGCCAGGTAACTGTAATTAAATTACATTTGGAAGTAATTGACCTATGTAGAAAGCAGACAGCAACCAGTCTACTTTTGCGGTGCTCCTGTATATTCCTATCGGAAAACGCGCTTGCATTTTGTCTCTCCGTCGGAAAATAACACAGCTCACTTTTTATTATTTCGGGGTGTACCGAATAGTATGTACCTTTATTACCATTGTAAAAGTGTAATTGCTTTAGTTACAGTATTTTTCTTTAACAGTGAACGATGTTAAACTTCGCTATATATAAAGCCCAAACCTTTCTTCCTTAGCAGGTGTCTAAAATTGAGCTACGATTCTAAGCAAAATAGCAATCGAAAGCAATGTAGAGAGTGTTCAAGGTTCGCCAGCATTTCGGTGGTGCTTATACATTTGCTATTATGCTCGTCCTGTCACTACATAAAAATGACCTCGTCGTGCATCTTTAAGATCAAACGGTTATAGAAACATTAAAAACGCAAAGATTAAAGTGCGTGGGCTATGAAAGGTGTCTCTTTTTATCATATCCTATGCTGGGCAGCTTTTATTGGGAACCATGTGCTCTGGCTTCTATCTATTTTAAACGATTTCGAGCGCGCGGGTGATGCTTTCAGGCACGTAGCCAGGGGGAGGAGGGGGGGGGGGGTGCACGCCCCCCCCCCCCTTACCGAAATCTTCTATTTTGCTGGGATCTCCTCTCCCCCTCCCTCTCATTTAGCCTTTTGTCCTGGGCGCCCCCCACCCTCCCTCCCCCTTCCCGATCAAAATCCTGAATACATGCCTGGATGCTTTGAACGCAGATCAAGCATCTTCACGCATATGCATGGCAAGAGAGAATAAAGCAATACTTATTTATAGCAAATTAGATTATAATCGGATTATTGCAAATCTGATTTTGAGTTCGAAGCGAATTCGAAGCGAATAGTGGTTTTGGTCGAAGACTTTTGAATAAAATATAGAATAGTTTCTCCCAGCTTTTCCTGCACCATGCCTAAACGAAAACCCACTTGAACTTGTAAAGGTTGTTCCTAAGCTTGCACTTATCCATATCTAAGCTAAATTAATATTAATTTACTTATATTTATGAACTGTGACCTCAGAAACTCCATTGTCTGTATGGAAACGACAATTAAAGGGATTTATAAATCGTCTCGCTATATGTAAACTTTCTTCATTAAATATAAACTTGTAGAAAATAAAAGAGAGAATAATGAGTTGTGAACGTATGTTGTCAGAACATCTCTGCCCAGAATATGTTCTTTCATAATAGCCGCAGTGTAATTTTGAAAATTTTGCTGTAGTGTAGATATCAAGATACAGAATCTTTCCGTTTCTTTTTACACACACCAAGCGCGCGCGTGCACCATCCCGCTTTGAAAGAGGGCTTTCCTCTTCAGAATGTGACCGCAATATTTGTAGTTTTCGAAGTGCTGATCGCGGCGGGCAAGCTCCGTTGAGCGCGCTTCTTAGCGAGCAGTGGTGCAATGCAGAGAAGCAACACCCACGGCAATGAGCCCCGCGGGTGTTGCTTTTTCGCAGTGCACCGGTGCTCGGTGAGAAGCGCGCTCAACGGGCTAACCCGCCGCGGTCAACACTTCGAAAGATACGAATATCAGTTCATCTCGAAGCAAATATCGAATAGTGTATTATTCAAACCGATTATTCGAAAACTCGAATATTCGTACAACACTAATTTTTACTCATTCTTTCTATCTTCGTTTGCGCTTTTGATGCGTGTCGCGGCGTCGATTTGTTTTTACGAGCGCTTACTTTTTGCGTTTCTAGCAGCGGGCAACAGGCCGGACGTCACTGGAAAGACAGCGGCCAACCGCGGGCCGGCCGGAACTGACCTGCGGACGGGATTTGTAGACCCCTGGTCTACATGCACAAGGAATTTGTGATTCTGTGTTAGTTCGTAGTTTTTGCCGTCTCTCTTTGTTTTCCAGATGTCCTTCGTTCGTTTGGCACGTAAACCCCCACGTAGAAAAGTGCAGACGCCGTGTTCGCGCTAACAGTGCCCGACAGTGCACATAAATACACGTATGAAGCTGTTTTACCACTGTGTTTAATGTAATGCATTTCAAACAGTAGCCGACCAATACTTTCATTTACGCGATCGAAAAATGTTTCAAGCTATTTACTATACGTTATAATTATTCGTAATATCTGCTCTTATATTCAAGCGCAGAGAAAAAAGGCACCCGCTTTTCCCCCGTAGAAATGAATTATCGGAAGTAAATTTTCTACTGGTTGTGGTCTGCTTCAATTTATAACAGCACACTAGAGCCAGCTGAACCTCAAGCGTATACATAAAGATAACTCTATAAGTGAAACAAAAAATAGAAAAAAAAAGGGTTTCCGGTAACGCTGGCAACTTTCCTGGGGACAAAAACCAGTAAGCTAAGTTTAAAAATGTGCTAATTTTTTTATTTAAATAAGAAGCAAGTAGAAAATACTGTTTGAAAGAGACGGTTAGTTGAGGAGAGCTTTCATAGAGTACAGACTTCATAGGGCGTCAAGGGCTATGAAAGACATCGAAAACAGACTCGATCTTCGCTCGCCACTCTTTTTATTCATGCAGCTTACTTTTTAGTTGCCCAGGTAAGAACTGACCTTTTCTCTAAATCACAGTTGAATGTTAAGTGGACTGCACTTGAACCTGTGCGAAGACGCTCTCTATTGAAGCCTAAATTACCCCCACATCAAATCGCTGATTTAAAAAAAAAATAAATAAAACACATACGTTTATCCTATATTTTATTTCACAACTTGTTTTGCGGCGCAAGAAAAGTCAGGGGCGCGAGCGCGTAACTCCGCAAAATGTCTTGCTGCATTCGCACTCGAGGCATTTTCGAAAGCCAAGCGCTCGCATCCCTGTCTCTGCCTGCAGCACTGCACGGAACTTATGAGGCGAGTACTGTTTCTGCCGACCTCATCGACGAGCGTTTTCCTCCGCTCTGCGCAGGAAACAATCTTGAGCACCCTCCCTGGCTGGCGCTTAGTGTCGCAGTAGCGGTCGGTTCCGCGGCCTACGACCTCGATGACACCATGCGTGAGGCCCGGCACGCGACGGCTGCTGTCCCATCTTGCGCGAGGCCACGAGCGCACTCGGCCCGCAAAAAGCGTCCAGCCAGGCGGCCGGGCAGCATCCGGTGCGCTGCGGGCCGGCCAATGAGCTCGCGAGGTGCCCTAATCGCTGACGAGCCGACACCAGCTGTCAAACGCCATTGGTCGGCCCTTCTAGCCTCTCATTGGTCGCTTTGGCGGCTCTGAGGGGGGGAAGGGGGGTTGTAACGGAAGCGCTTTTATTTATATCCCCCCCTTCTCCTACCAGTTCAAGCGGCGTCTTTTCTTTTGTGCGCGGCGTTTGGTAAGCGCCGACGTAGCGAACGGCACGGGTGAGGGGAGCCGGCGAGAGAGGGCCCGCTTCCTTCACCTGCCCCGCAGCACCTTCAAAGAGGGCGACGAGTGGCGCTTGCGGCCAGACTCGCTTTGCGCCTTCCGAGGTGAGGTTGTGTACGAGCGCGCTGCAGCAGCCGGCTTCGCCGTCTTCATGAGGATCTCGTAGACGACGACGCGCCCAACTCGGATTACGGTGTCATCCCGCATTCCCCGCTCCTAGCATCATGCCGCGCTCCTTTCTCATCAAGAAGCACTCCAGCGTCGGTGCCCCGGTGTCCCGACCCGTAACCGTCGTGAAGCGGCCCTGGCTCGACGAGGGCTCCGTCGAAGCCGAGGATCTGAGCACGTCTCCGCCTCCGCCTGCCAGGACGCCGCTTGCCCTGTCGCCGGCTCTCTCGGACGGCTGCGTACCCGGTAAGCCGACTTGACGTTTCTTCTTTCGTGTTTGTTCGAGGCAGCGTTTCGATTCCCATCCGGGATCCGGAACGCTGCGCCGATGCCCAGCGGGGAGCTGGACGCTGCCGCGCAAGTCGCGGGGGCATCCAGCACTCGGCCTTCACAAAACTGTTTCTGTTGTGTCTCTCTTCGCTTTCACCGATCCTTCGGCTTCTTCTATATACAAGACTTTGAATCGCTTCAGCTGCACGAATCGAATTGGAGTGCTTTGGCGGCGCGAGTGTTCCCTATTGCACGTCGGCGCGCGGAGTGACGGAGTGCAATGCGGGAAAGCCACAGAGCATGCTGCCGAGCGGCGTTTGACACACGTCGGAGACGACGCTGCTCTGTAACTTCACCGCTGCTCATCGCGAGGTCGGCGCTCGCTCTGATAAGGGTGAATCTCGGTCGCGTCCACTTTGTCTTACCTGTCCCAATAAATCTCGGCGGCTCGAGCACAGGCCGTGTTGGTGTACCGTTGAGCAGGTGCCCGATAAACGAGTAACAAGGCGGCTGCGCGGGGAGAAACAACGCGTAACGGAGCAGTTCGATAAAGCCTCTTTGTCAACAGGCGTGCACCTGGTTCGCGAGGCGGTTTATCGAGAGGAGCGGGTGGCGGCGGATAGAGCGCTGCTTGGAGAGTTTGCAGGCGTCGTCATTGTGGCGAGCACGCGATACGCCGCCTGTCAACCACGCTTGAGTACACACTGTCCGACCGCAAGCAGCGCAATCTTCCAGGTGTCAAAACGAAGATAGCGCAGTAGACACGCAAAGCTTGGCGGCAGTCGGCACAGATTCGGGGGGTCGAGCAAGAGTCCCAGATGCTGCGACAGGACCGTCTCCTCCGTGTCGGGTTTCAGCCGGCCTCGCCATCTGGCCTTGGCGACGCCGGAGACTCCCGACACGGCGGCCGTTTCCGGATCTCCGCGAGTCTGTTTCCTCTCTGACTCGAGCGCTTCCGCTGTCGCGCCGCGCGCCGGGGAAACCTTTTACAGAGCATGCGCGGCCACTGGTTAGCTGTTGAGAACCCTGCCACGTTCGCTTAGTTGGACTTGCTAGTTGGCTACAGAGTCTGTTGGTCTCTTCCAGATGTCACGCGACCCTTCGACCTGAGCCTGAAGACGAAGAAGCCAGGCTCGCGACCCGAGTACCATTCGATTCACCGGCCGGTCGCCATCACGCCGCCACCCGGGATCGCCCTGATCGCGCCCAAGGGAGACCGCGGAGCGAGCAACCCCCTGGACTGGCCCCAGTACCTGGCGCACGCGTACGCGCCCTTCTCGCTCTATCCCGTGCCTCCGGCGGCAGACTACTACCCGCCCATGGTGCCCGCACCGATGGTGTCCAGCAGCCACCCCATGACGCCCCACGAGCTCTCGGCCAAGCAAAGTCCCCCGCAGCGGGACGCCGTGGTGCCCTCCTGGTCGTCGGGGGTGTCCTCTTCCTCCTCGGACGAAAAGGAGTCCAGTAGCGCAGACTCCCCCACGCCCGAGGCTCAGCGTCGGCGGCGCACCGAGGGAGCACCGCGTTACCCGTGCACGGGCTGCAGTCGCAGTTACTCCACGTACAGCGGCCTGTCCAAACACCGGCAGCTCCACTGCTCAGCCACCACCACCAAGTCCTTCTCGTGCAAGTACTGCGAGAAGGACTACTCGTCGCTCGGGGCGCTCAAGATGCACATCCGCACGCACACCCTGCCCTGCAAGTGTAAGCTGTGCGGTAAGGCCTTCTCGAGGCCCTGGTTGCTTCAGGGTCACATTCGCACGCACACGGGCGAGAAACCGTTCGCCTGTCCGCATTGCAGCCGAGCCTTCGCCGACCGCTCCAACCTGCGCGCCCACCTACAGACGCACTCAGACGTCAAGAAGTACAGCTGCAAGTCGTGCAGTAGGACCTTCTCGCGCATGTCGCTGCTGCTGAAGCACGAGGACGGCGGCTGTCCAGCGGCCACCCTCAGTCGGAGCAACGGCGCGTGCACACCCCAGGCCGTTCCGCATGTTGCCTGCTAGCGGGCAAAGGACATTTAGAACACATTGTGAGTGGGGGAATTGCGTATTTATACAGTGTTTTCATGTATGCTCTAGTCGCATATATACAAGTTTGTCATTTGCACTCTTGAGCCGCGCACTCTGGCTGGAGCCAGTGTCGTGGCTCGCAGAAGGACCGAAGAGCCCTCACCGGTTGAGTTCGCAAATATGCCAGGCACTTCTTATTTATTTGAGCATATTCATTTCTTCTCACCCTCATTTGTACTCCTGTTTGTACGTGACATCACATCTTCCAGAATTCCCCGTCGTATTTAAGTTCGGAGTTCATAAAAGCAGCAATTAATTACCAAAGATTGTTTCCCCTTTTGCGTCAGTCGCGCAAGCAGGGTTGTGTAACATTGCCATTTTACATGCGGTCCTCGTTGAATTTTCGCTCGCACGGGCTGGGGCAGTTGGTGCCTCGCTACGCTCTGTCTGGTGCCCATTCTTCGACTCAATTGCGCTCGGAGGATGTCCCTTCCTTGGTTAGACCTTCCTCTGTTCGCCGGCCTTGCACTCAAAGGTCTGGCTGGCTAGCCTGCCTTTCGTTTAAGTTTTCTTTTCTTCTTTTCAATGATAGTGCACCACAAGCTTATCTGCGGATGCCACACCTGCCTCGTAAACAAAATCTCTGACTGATTTTTTTCCCCCGCTTTCTTTGGTTAAAGTTCACAGTCCCTCCTGGTAGGCAGGGCTAAACGGCAGAGCTGTGCGAGGGAACACCACTGCCCCTCAAGGAAAGCTTGTTGCGGCGACACGGACGTGCGTACAAAAAGTGACCTTATATCTTCCGGCTGCAGGCACGCGTTGTTGCCCAGTCGATGTCGCGTTTCCAAGTGCCATCATAGTCTCGTACCTGTTCAACTTGTACAGAAAGTGCGAGCTGCGTACTACGTTCCCGCTGTTTTGTCATGTGCGCAAGTATATGTGTCTCATCGCTTACGTCCTTTTTTATTTCATTTTTTTATGTGAAAACATGAGCTCACTTCAAATTGTAAATACTGCGCGTTTGTTGCCATCTTCATCATCCGGTTAGTCCTAGTCATCGAATTTCATTTTTGTTCGAATGTCGTTGCCATATTGTTCACAATGATTCCTTCGCGGAATGCTAGGGAGAGAAACAGAGAGAAAGAAAACAAAGCAGGTTTGTCATGTTTCGTGGTGGGGCTAAGTTGCCCGTTTCATTGTGCCGCCATCACTGTCACCTTTGCCTCGGCCTGTTGATACAGCACGCACTATGCTTTTTGTGTGTTTGTTACACGAACATGTTAATCGTCTCTGAGGGACACGAAAGAAAGTTCACATTGCTAGAATTCTTAACAAAGCAATAAACTACTTTTGACCTTTACTTCGTGCTTGTTTGGTGTTTGTTTGTTTGTTTTTTCGTTATTTTCTCACACATTTCCTTATCTACAAATATTGGGAGATAAAATTGCTCGTAGACCTGTGGTTTGAATTTTTATTCTGGTGTTTAAATTATTTAACTGCACAGTTTGAAACAAATAATAATATTAATAATAATCAGAAGACAAACACAGACACTTCAATAATTATACAACCTCTAGTGTTTAAAACTGACAGAGAAACAATTAATCAATTTCCTGACTCGCTAAACGCTTATAGTGTTTAGGGTGAATTCTTTATATTCTGAACGTATGCGTATACTTATCTAGAAAGGCGTCTCTGGGTGACGTCATTAGAGCCGTTGCATGTTTCACAACGACATTTTTTGGATTGCAAAAGGACAAAACGCGTGCTCGCCGGACTGAGTTCGCACGTCTTGGACGCTTTATGGAAAGTTAGAATGGCATTTACAGATCAAAGATTAGTCCTTCGCTGCACGCTCTAACTGTTGTAGAGCCCGCCCCCCCCCCCCCCCCCCCGGCCACACACACACACTAAGCCGTACCTAATGAGACTTTGCAAATATCTTCAAAGGTGTAGCTTCTCCATCTAATTTTGACTCGTATATGTAATATATAAGGAACCAGTAGAAAGAGGGGGAGCATGTGACCATTGGAAATCACCATGACTGAGCCTTGGTCGAATGCTGACGTAATTCTCGTATCAAATCAGTGAGACGCATTCGGCTCCAGTGCCTTAACGTCATAGCAAAGTGTTCGAACGTATGCATATATAGGTACAGTAGTAGCCCTGTGTTGTAGCACCGCAATCGTCAGGAGTAGTTTCTGGTTCATTTAGCAATATGTACTAATATGCTTGTGTCGCGCGCAATTTAGAACTAATGCGCATAAGACAAAAATTGCACGATTGAAACTGCTTTTTTTAATTATCAAAGACAAGCTAAATTATTTTAATTCAAAATTATGCGCTCAGCCCTCGACCGCAAAACGATCAGATCGATTAAATCACAGCAAAACTGCCAAAACCTACAAAGGTCGAATAAACACCACTAAGCAATCTTTTTTTTTTTTTTTTTTTGAAGACCATCGAGGCTTGGAATTAATTGCCGAATGAGATTGTGTGCATGAAAACGGTGTCCTCCTCCGAGTATTTCATTACTGCACTGTGAAATAAATAAGAACGCAAACCGCTTCTTTTTATGTGGTATATGCCACGATAGATTGCTTTCAATGTGTTTCGCTATGCCTCTTTGTTGTTTGTTGTGTTTATTTTTAGAAAACTGATATTTAGCGCTGTCTTTGCACTTTAATTTTTACGAGACCTGTCTGTTGTAGACTGTAATTTTTTTTGCACTCTTGCACATTCTTTAGTCACTTGGACCCTCCCTGTAAGGGCCCTCAAGAAAGGGCTAACAGTATATTCAAATAAATAAATAAATAAATAAATAAATAAATAAATAAATAAATAAAGATGGTAAATCTCAAATTAAAATTAACCAGCTCGCCTGCCTACTTGCTTTAAGCAAAATAGCTGTCTCTGGTTCTTCTAAAGGGCTGGTTATTAGATAATAAAAATAAAATAAAAACAGTCTGCATCAGCCTGGAAAAAGTTTATCTTATGAGAGGAAAGAGAAAAATGGACTTATAAGAAAACATAGGGAGGTCAAAGACCTGGGATACAAAAAAAAATACAATGACCACAGTAATAAATAGTATGGTGCGTTACACACAAGCTTGGCGCAGTTATACACATGTGGTTAATTTACATACAGTTCTGGATACTGGCCAACTTAACAAAGTCGAGGAGAAAGTCCAGAATATTGTTTTTTGGTGCTCTGATGGGCCTCCTCGGTGGGAATTCTTGCACAGATGCTGATGTTAGATTGCCAACAAAAGAAGGAAAATTGAGAGTGGTTCGCGCAGGTACACACAGATGTCTTTGCATCACACACACACACACACACACACACACACACACACACAAACACACACACACAGAAACACACACACACACACACACACACACATACCGTAGTCTGGCTGTTTTGAACACGTGGCTTGTCTAGCCAGGGTCAGCTCTCTGCACACTACAGAACCGTGCGCTCACCCATCGTTCATAACCTCTGGGGATATTGTATTGAGGACATTTTAGAGCGCAGCTCTTAGGGGCCCGTTTCCGGCTTGAGCGGCGTCGCCGTCGCCGTCGCCGTCGCCGTCGGCGTAACCGCGCGGTGCATCATGGGAAATATCCCATAATGCACCGCGCGAGCCCCCCACCGGGGTCACGTGACTTCGTGGGGAGGCACGTGACCCCCCCCGAGGTCACATGACCCCCCGAAGTCACGTGACTCCCCTGAGGTCACGTGACCCCCTCCTCGAGGTCACGTGACTCCCCTGAGGTCACGTGACCCCCTCCTCTAGGTCACGTGACTCCCCTGAGGTCACGTGACCCCCTCCTCGAGGTCACGTGACCCCCCGAGGTCACGTGACCCCCGCCGATGTCGCGTGACCCCCCGATGACGTCATCGACACTGATGACGTCACCGGCATCCACATCGTCATCGTCATCATCAGTGATGACGATGACGATGCGGATGCCGGTGACGTCATAAGTGATGATGACGATGACGATGTGGATGCTGGTGACGTCATCAGTGATGATGACGATGACGATGTGGATGCCGGTGACGTCATCAGTGATGATGACATCAGTGATGATGACGTCATCAGTGACGATGACGATGTGGATGCCGGTGACGTCATCAGTGATGATGACGATGTGGATGCCGGTGACGTCATCAGTGATGACGTCATCAGTGATGATGACGATGACGATGCGGATGCCGGTGACGTCATCAGTGATTATGACGATGTGGATGCCGGTGACGTCATCAGTGATGATGACGATGACGATGTGGATGCCGGTGACGTCATCGGTGATGATGACGATGACGATATGGATGCCGGTGACGTTACCGACATCCGCATCGTCATCGTCATCATCACTGATGACGAAATCAGTGACGTCATTGATGTCGTCACCGGCATTCGCATCGTCATCGTCATCATCACTGATGACGTCGTCAGCGACGTCACTGATGACGTAACCGACATTCGCATCGTCATCGTCATCATCACTGGTGAAGTCATCAGTGACGTCACTAATGACGTCATCAGTGACGTCAGTGATGACATCATCGGCATTGGGGGTCAGGTGACCCCCCAAGGTCACGTAACCCCCCCCTGGTTAGTCTAACCCCCCCCCCCCCCCCCAGCGCCCTTCCCTCCTCCTCCTCAAGAGCTGCGCTCCAATTCGGCGTTACAGGGAGTTGTAAGCGGCTTTCACTTTTTGGGAAGAGTGACTGTAAAACTGAAAATCTCTCTTGCTTGGGAAGGTGGGAGGCTTTTTCTAAATCAAACAAGTCTTGCTCCACCGCGTCGTCTTGTACGAGTCCCACTGTTCGCAGCCTGCATGGATCTGAAATTTCTTATAGCTACACCTGTGCTGCAGAAAGAGCAAGGTCGTTCCCAGGAATTTCTGAATGGCCAGGTATCTAGCCTGTTGGGAATCGGTGGCCATTGTCGATTTTTCGGCGATTCTGCGCATCTTGGGTACAGTTTTACTTCTGGACTTGTAAGGGAAGCATATGCTGTGGCTCCCTCCATAAAATCGGAACGAGTGTTTAGATCCTTAACCAACCGCCGTCTGCAACTTTCAACTCCACACGCAGATGAACACTATCGTGGACTAGGTGGAAAGGTCCAAGGCTTTCCAGCTCCTGCGTCTGGATAGTATCAGGGCCGGTCGCTATATCTTGATGTCCCTGGGCTTGAACACCACCCCCGAATCACAGCTAGCAGCGCTGCCTGTTCCTCGGATCAATCAGCCACCGTTGATAACTGTCCACCGGCCAAGGACATGGGGCAGGGACAACGGGGCTGATGGCCCTGCCTGGTTCTGCGCCCTTCCCCTACCGTTGAGTTGCAAGTCTTCCCCACCAAGGCCCCACGCAATGAAGGAAGCCGAACTTCGAGCAATATTCCTCGCCGCCGAGGACACCCATAATAAAGCGAATGCATCGCAAGCTTCACTGGTTAATAATGCAAACTCCGTGGCAAATCACGAACAGACAAAAAAATCAAAGCGCTGAATAATAATAAATAGAAGAAGAAGAAGAATTATCTAACTATATGTATCTATAACGTGCAATATTGTCTTGCACAGTGCTCTCTTTTACAGTGCTCTCGATATTTTGCATTTTTGATTGGGAGCACTACTTTTTTGTAATTTTTCATTTTTGTTTCATGCATACTGCCGGAAATGGGTACTATAAAGAGGGATACTGCCGTAAGAGCAATAACAATGAGGCACTCTAACCGGGAACACGATTGATTAGTACACGATAAAACAGCACGCGGAAAAACTGCACGCGACAAAACAGCACAGCCAAAACAACACACATAAAAAAAACACAGCGACACAACATCATGCGAAAAAAGAGCACTCATGAAAACAAAAACACAGCGACAAGACTGCACACGACAAAAAGCACGGTCAAAGCAGCACGCATAAAAAAAAAGAGCACTGTCAAAACTGCACTGATCAAAACGAAGCATAGCGAAAAACGGGACGCGAGAAAAGAACACGGTAAAAACAGCACGGTCAAAGCAGCCTGCATCAAAAAGAATACTGCGACAAAAAAGCACCGTAAAAACAGCACGCATCAAAAATAATACATCGACAAAACAGCACGCGACAACATCGCATGCATGAAAAGAGCACAGCGACAAAACAGCACGCGATAAAATAGCACGGTAATAACAGCACGCATCAAAAGGAGCAGGGCGACAAAACAACCCTGATCAAAAACAGCACAGCGACAAAACAGCACGCACCAAAAAGAGCAAAGCGACAAAATAGCACCCATCAAAGAGAGCAAAGCGACAAAACAGCACGTATCAAAAAGTGCTCAGTGAGGAAGCA